TGGGTAATCCTCTGCAGCCGGCGAAGTCCAGGCCCCACTAATGCCCACAATGTTATCCCTCCAACCCTTTTCAGATTTGATTGTGTCCGTACATATGGACATCTTGTCGATCGGGTAGAGGTGGTAGAAGGACTCGTTAGTTCGGATCTTACTGACCTTATAACACAGAAGAAGATCTATGAGGTCAAGGTCCAGACTTCTGTCACGAATCAACAGTAGCATAACGGATATGATTCTAAAGAAATTAGGGTTTACCTGCAGGGGGGATATCCCCAGTCTATTGAAGACATAATTAAAGAAGGGGTGCAGAGGGAACCTAACGACATTCAGTTGAAGGTTTGAAAATAAAACTTCGCCGGGAAGGAGGCTGGCACCGGTCATAATATTAACATCCTTAGGGCAAACCCTAACTTGGATGTTGTCAGGAAGTCTAAGTCTTATACGAAGAACATCTAGATCTACAACCATGGTGGAAGTGATTGAAGGATCTAAAAGGGTAAAAAGAAGCCTGCCGAAAGTAAAAAGGAACAAAACTAACCTCTAAGGTAGAAAGCAACAAAGAGCACTGCGAGACCGCTGGAAGAATGACTCTTGAAGGATTTCACCGGAAGAAGCTTAGCACTGTTCTAAAAAGAGAGAGATTTGACTGATGATGGAGACGGTAAAAAGGCATGAAGTGGTATTCTAGAGCCTTATAAAGGCGAGGGGGACCCGAGGGCTGAAGCGTCAGGAAGGCGAGAAATTCATCGAGCCCCGGAACATTGATTCTGGATCTGACCGTCCATTTCCCCATGTGGGTTTCTCGAGCCGTCAACGTCATGATGAGACGCCTTCAATAATTACCCCCTTATTAAACAAGGGGTAATTATGGGGGCAGTTGAGGAGGCCCGAGATGACATGGGCCGGATATGACTTGCAAACGCGACATCCGGTCCGTACAGATGGGTCAGGCCCATAGAAAGACACTGCCATATGGGCCGAACGCGAATAAGCCCATCAAAGATGACCAGAACTCATGGAGGAACGGACCTAGATCCAGCAGTCCATCAACATTTGTAAATATCTATAAATAGGAGAAGTAATGGAAAGAGACAGGAGATATTTTTTTTGGTTGAAATGCAAGAATTCTAGAGAGAGAAAGGGAGGAGGAATTTCTTGTATCTTCAATGTCTAATCACAAAATAAAATAATATTGTATAAATTTAAAGAATTTTCAAAATAAATTAGAAGATTTACAATTATTCGTATATATTTTTACAAATGTTTATTCTTCTAAAATTAAAAACTATAATAATGAGATTATTCCGAATAATAACATTTTTTTTCTCTAAAACGTGTTAGCAGGTTATGTTGGTTTGACAACCCCATCCCCCCAACACATATACATAGGTCACAAATAAAGTCGGATTATTGTAACTATCACAATTCAACTCTTTTCACATATAAATATATACATATATGTACTTATCTTGAATAATTATTATTATTTTTTTGTTTTCAAGTTCTACTATTAGATTTCCAACTTATATATTTTTACCGAATTGTAACTTTTTCTTTGTTTCCTTTTTTTTTTATTTTATCCGTAAGTAAGACATATTAAGCGACATATTAAATTCGTTGAGCAAGAATATACATCTCACAAAAATTAAGAAATACAATCAAAATTATTTAAGTAGAACAATTTGCATCAGTAAGTAAAAATAAACATCTACACAAATTTTTTAGAAGGGTTCAATGCACCTGTGTAGTAACAGGAAGACACAAGAAGGACAATCACGGTCCAAAATAGATTTAATATTCATGAACTAGAAAAATCAAAGTTTCAATGAGTTTGAACTTTGAAACTTCAGTATGCTTTGGTAGAGGTGGTAAATGGACGAGTTGGATCGAGTTTGGGTTAGGTTAAAAATAGGCAGATCAAATGAGTCAAGACTCATATTTAACTCATTCAGAACAGGTTAAGATGGGCGGGTCAAAATGTATAGAGTCAACTCGTTAGGATCCGTGAATGCATTAATTATTATTTTTTAATTATTATTTTTTTATTTTTAAAATTATTTTTTTATTTTAAAGTTTTTGTTAATTCCACCTACACTCCCTAAGTTTATTTATATTCCACTTACACTCTCTCTACGTTTCAATATTCCACTTACCACCCTTGAGGTTTTGATTTATGTAACAAATTACCCCCTGCAGTTAAGCAATTGACGGTGTTAGCATGAACAAATATATACAAGGTCAATTTTGCCCTTCCAATACTTAAAATGACATTTTTAACCTCATTAACCAATGCAAATTTACAAAATTACCCTTAACTTATAAACTCAATAAGTTTAACCGTATCCTCATATCACCGAACCCAGAACACCTATTCACCGATTGCTTCAACTTTGTAAGTCACCAGAATTGAGCCCGCAATATTAATCCACGCACCAAAAGATGTTGACCAAACAAGTTGTTGCTTGCCGGACTGAAAAAGGAGGAATCCTTAGTTCAGTCCAAACACCGTCGAATCTACGATTGTGTAATCGTCGTCAAATCTACCGTCTGATTTGAAATCCCCTTCCCTGTTGAAAATCTTATCTGTATCTTTCTGAACTGAAATCCCCTTCTAGTTGTAGAACCCTCCCTCCCTGAACTGAAAATCTCTCTAGTTGGAATTTTTTTTTTTTTTTTTAAATCTCTCTAATTGGAATTTTGTTTTTAGAAATCTCTCTCTGTTTCTAATAATCTCGCCATTAACCCTTTCTTTCTTCGTCGCCGATTCAAGATAGTTATAGATAAAAAAGAAGAAAACATGTACAAATGATTAATTTTGTTCTATTGAATTGTTTTATCAAAACAAAAACATAGACCAGCACATCCATTCAATGTTAAGATGCGTTTTATCTCCAGATTTTCATCCTAATTTTTTTTCCCTGATTTAATTTGGAAACAAAAAAGAAAAATAACAATGAATGGAGTCGGGTTTCTGGCTAGATCAGGCGAGTTCTGGGGCAGGAATTGTCTGCGGTGAGCTGATCGTTTATGAACTTTAAGATCAACGGAGATGGAGTTTTCTAGCAAGGTTATGACTCAAATTGCTGAAGGGTGACGGCAGTCACGCGCCACCATCAGGTCCAGTCTTCTTGTTGCTAATACAACCTCCTCACATGATTCAGATTTTGGGTTGCAGACTTAAATGCCTCATTTGACTTCATCAATCTTCATTCTGCTCTCCCAAACAGACCCGACAACTACACCATTTTTTTTTCGCAATTGGATCTTGGGTCTGCTAATGGTGTTGTTTGCAAAGGGTAATTGTGGATGATGGTTAGTGGTAGGTCGAGGTGGAGAAACGGCAAGATCGATTTTGTAACTTGCCAGAGATCGCTTCACCCAGTTCAGTCCGGCGAAGCTCGTAACAGAGTAAGGACTGAAGGTTGAACGACGGTGTGTCCTTTCAATTGAACGGCGGGCAGCAACTATCGTTGCAATTGAATGGCGGGCAGTAAAAAGAACGGCTTGGTTGTAATAAGAACCATCTTTTTATGTGGTTGTTGTGTATTCTATCGGTGGCATAGTTTCTTCGTTGACGGTAATAATGAAGAATATATATATATATATATATATGTGTGTGTGTATAGTGTGTGTGCGTGTGTGTATATATGTGTGTGAGTAGAGAGAGAAATTTAATGGTGTTAAGAGGGTGTTAAAGTCTTTTCGTTTAAATTATAAATTTTAATATATAATTAAAGGGTAAAACAGTAAATTTACACATTTTCGTTGATAAATTAGATGGCAGTTACTGACAGGGGTGTAGGTGGAATTATGAAACATAGAGGAGGTATGTGTGGAATATTAGCATAATTCAGGGGGTGTAGGTGGAATTAGCCCTTTAATTTTTTAAATTTTTTTTTTTTTTTTCCTCAAACTCAGCAATATTTATCAACTCGTTTTAGAGAGAGAGAGGTGAAGGAAAGAAAAGAAATTTCTAGAAAAAGAGATAAGTGAAGGAAACAAAAGAAATTTCTAGATAGAGAGGATTGATGAGAGACAAATTTAGAGAGAGGATTGTGAATGAGAGAATTTTAGAGAAAGAAAAATAAGTTGAGTGTAATATAAAATAAATGTCTGTTGTGTGTTTATTATGTGATGAGTTAAATATGCATATCCATATTCAACCCATCTTGACCCTCAAATTAAGTGATTAAAAATTACCCAACTCATTTTTGACCCATTTTAAATATAGTTCACCCAAAACAATTAAAAAACGGACGAATATAGATGGATTGATAGATTGTGACTTATTTTGCCACCCTTATTTTGAAGTGCTAGGTGGGTATAATTAAAAATGTTTTTATTTTATATATATTTAAAAAATAAAAATTAAAGATGAGCTAGTTTTCAAGATAATTAGGACATTGATGTGCTACATGTGTAATCGTGGCGATGTTAACACCTTCAAATATATAATAAATATTTCTTAAGAACAACAGTGTCATAGGTTAAAATCACTTTCATAAGCGGATCAAGATTTGAAAACTATTTTATGGAAGACGAGTCGGTTTTCCTGAATTGCGTGTTTTAAGGCATTGACTTGAATTTAGACTATAAGATGATATTTTGACCGTAAAATTAAGATTTATGGAGTCCAATAGAAAGATTTGACAGGAAAAGATTCATTTTCAAAGAGATTTATATAACAATTTGACCGATAAATTTATGTTTCAGCTCACTTTTAAGAGAGTAGGGGCAAATTATTTTGCCATCCCTAAACCCAATCCTTTCTAGCTCCCATCCACTCGTCATCAATGCTGAGTCACTAATAACCTTGTTATTGGTAAAAAAAATCATCCCGAATTGCATAATATTTTAGGTCGGCACTCATTTCTTCTAATTTACAAGCAACAAAAAAAGTAGGATCACTCGTTAGTTTTATTATAATTTATTTTGGATATTCAAACAATTTTTCAATTTTGTTGCATTTATTATAACATTGTAGCTAGCAAATTAAACAATTCTTTTCTTTTTTCAAAGTAAAATTTCATTGAATTAACCAGAAACAACGAATACAAGGTAGATTGGAGGGCATCCCCTCACAATAACAATAACAAAAAACCATTTCCAAAATCCAAAAAAAGAGGAAACGAAACCTATCACTGCTTCTAGCCACACTCAATATAGACTAGAAACAATGAACAAAGCATGAACACAAGAACTCTTTCCATCTTTAATGGACACTAGACCAGATAAACAAAGGAACCAAAACATCAACAAGGAATTACAGTGTGTTGTTTGTAAGTAGTACAATGTAGCAAACAAACTTGGGAGGAAATCTATCATTCGAAAGAGGAAATCTAAGTAATGATACGGATTCCGACAATTAGACAATTCCGACTGGTTTGTAAGTGAGTGGAGACTGATGCCATCTCCACCCCAGACTTACAGCAAGACAGTCGGACTCCAAATGATTTTCCTTATTCATACAGAAAATAAGTACTGATATTGACAAATCATAGTTCAATACAATGGCACTAAGGATGAGTATAGTCCATGGGACCATAAGGCTCAAACAATTCAGCTATAAATCCCTTCTTCCTCCTGGGGTTCCATCCCATGTCATTGCATAGTTGATCATTGTACCATATATGAAGTGCACCAATGCAAGACCTTTTGTAATACTCACCAGAGGATTGTTTCAAGTATTCATCCCATTTTTCGACATCTTTCTCCATCTCCTTAATGCTAGGTACCTTGAATGTGCCATCAAGAAGCTCTGCCACCCATCGGCACCTTATCTCTGAGGTGTACAAGTTTGCAAGACTTTCTGAGAATCCAATTATCGCTAATTGTGGAATTCGAGGATGAATGCATTCCCTGATAAAATTAAGTTCATATTAGTATATATGATGGAGCAGAAGTTACGATCGTTCAATAATAAATAAAAAAAAGTGACAACTTTTAATCCACAACTGAATTTGGCCGAAAAGCAGAGCATAGACCACAAACTTTAGCTAGTGGGTTTTGCTTATTGAGTCGTTTTCAAACTGTATCCCAGAGAAAGTCGATAAAACTATCCTACATCAATATATACCCTGTACACAACCCACATATGCATATATATGTACATGTGTATAATTAATTATACATGTTATAAGATGCTAACCTGTAGAGTGGCATAGACGTATTGGTTGATCCAGCTAATATCTCTTGAAAGGTTGGTGACACAAATATGTCTTTGAGTTTTTGCACACTCTTAAAACCAGTGGCCAGTATGACCATATCTGTCTCTAGAGGTTCAGCTTCTCCATCTATTAGAAGTCCTTTTTCACAGAAGCTAAAACTTGGAGCTTTCTTCAGTTTGATGCTTCCCTTTTCAACTCTATCGTAAAAATCTTCTGGCACGGTTGAGACCAAACATGAACTAACTTCTTTTAAAAAACTATGTTTTGGAACCATTCCAAACTTTGCAAGCCGAAGCTTCGATCTTATGTAACTCTCAACAAATTTTGAGAATCCCCATCTCTGTTAAATCAGACAGATACTAAGTTAGTACCAATAATATATATATATATATATATATAGAGAGAGAGAGAGAGAGATCAAGTCTCTCTTAATCTTGATGTTTGATTATTTGGTTTGTATTATATAGCAGTTCAATTAAGTTTTGTCGAGGGGAGTAATATACCAGAGGTGAAAAAATTGTTGCCAGGAGAGCAAGTAGATAGCCTTGATTAGGTTTATGAACCAAAAGCTCTGAGAAGCGATTGAGGTACAGATAACCTAAGTTAACTCCCCATGGAAGATAGTCCGGCACGTTCCAATGTTCAGTTCTGTATATCACTGTACATGGATGTTCTACCCCTGCAAGTCCACCAAGAAAAAACTACACTCTAATAATTGAAGCTTTTCAGAGTAGATGTTTGTTAACTAGATTGAGCTTTAGCTTCTCACCATTTGCTATTGAGCATTCCCTGGCAATGTCCAGGGCTGATTTCTGGAGGCCAACAACCGCGACTCGCTTCCCTTTGACAAACTCTGCAGCACTTGCATAATCCATGGCAGCGTAGTCCATTGCGTGTATCACCTTGCCATGAAAGGCTTCGGGACCTTTCTTTGGTGGAAATTCTGGAATGTTTGGTACATCACTGAACCTTCCCAAACAAAGGATCGTGAAATCGACTTGGTAAATCTGCACTATCATGAAATAATAAGAAACCTACTCTAGCCTAGTTTAAGGATTAAAAGACTCACTGATGCTCAGGCACGGATCTGTGAAGGTTGATTTTTGATCCCTAAATTTATACTTTTTTGTAATTATATCCATAAAATTACGAAATTGCCTCTACTAAAATTATGAAAAAACCTCTCAATATAAATTTGACCCCAATATGAATTCCTAGATCCGTCCTACTTGTGCTCAAAAGTTTGTGTAATTAGAACAAATTGGTATTACAACTATAGCGTGTGTGAGTGCACGCATGCATATTTATATATATAGTCAGTAAATCAGGTTAAGATCGAGTTGGATTTGATGATGGCAACTTTGGATATGCAGGATTTTCCCAATATCAATATATAGGGTATGTTCCAATTGACCGTAGGGAAGAGGGTCCGGTTTTGTGGACAGGCAAATGACGGAGATCACCTTACATACAGTGTAGTCGCACCCACAACACAAACCCACTACAGGTGGATTGATGACCTGATATCACCCACCACCTAGACACTGACATTAAAATAAATATATATATTATGGTACAAGAAAGATTTTCTTGGTGCACAACACCTATATGTGTCAAGTGCTAGATTTTAGAAACACGTACCTCAGTTGAAAGGGTTTGAGTGTCATGTACTGTAAGGTTCCATTTCCCTTTGGAGCTGAAGGGCTCACCTGTGCCACCCCACAGACTCCATGCTTGCATCTCTTCTTCTGCATCTGATGGGCCTTCATAGCTGATGCTCACCACTCTGCTATTGAATTTGATGTGCCGAAGCAGATCAAAATGAGTAGCATACGATTGCACATAGTCGAGGACTTCGTGTTGGTTAGGGAACTCTTCTGTCACCGAAGACGGCCACGGAAAATCGGAGAACTGGTACAGCAATTTGGAAGACTGGAGCTTAGTAGTCTCCAGTGTTTTGGTCCATACTCCACCACTGCTGCTCTGTGATTCGAACACGATCGGACGGTAGCCCTTTGAAAGTGCATATTTGCAGGCCAGAAGGCCGCTGATACCAGCTCCAATTATGCCCACTTGCCTCTCCATTGTTGAACTATAGAAATTGATGCCAAATCACTTTGTTAAATATATAAACATATACAAGAAAGTATTGCATATGGTCAACTATCTAAAACCATCGTCATACCTAAGCCTGAGAAAACTCGGTTGGTTTGGACCAGCTGTGAGAAAATATTTATAGATCAATACTATGATCTCCTATTATTTTTTTTTTTTTTAGGATAATACTTAAATACTCACCGGTGAGTAGCTTTCTTCACGTGTTTCAATAATAATATACCATATCAACTTTAATAACCAAATAATTCACGTTCTTTATATTTTTTCACAGCAACCATTGAATAACTTTTTTATTAAAATCGATGTGATATGTTATTATTGAAACACATAAGAGTTGAATAAGATGACGCTACTCACCCGTTAAAGCTAAACATTACTCTCTTTTTTTTAAAGGCCACGCGAGGAGGAAGTATTTAATACTCTCAAAAATAAACAAAACGCTCTCAACGAAAGCGCTTTGTTTCTTAGCTAAAAGTAGTACTATTCTTTTGTCACTATTCTACCGACAAGATTACTTTTAAAGACTCTTCATTTTTTTGTTAATATGTTAGTAATATTTTGTTACTACACTGACAAAACGTTCACATTTCTTCTTTGCTAAAATTACTAGAGTCCTCTCATAATGATTATGAGTCCTCCTAATTGAACCAATGTATTATCAGTCTCATTAAATGATTTATTTGATTTTTTTATAAATATTATTAATTTAATAATTAAATAAAAAAGCTATGCCTCTAACAAAATATCCAAGTTGGATGTGGCAGGGATTCCATATCCCATAAGTTGATATGAACCAAAAATATCAACACCACACGTGTATCAGGTCGTGCTCTCCACTGATTGGATTGGAAGGATTGAGGGTGGACTTGATTTAAAGGCTGAAAAAGAAAGCTTAATGAACGGATCTTCCGTTATGGACTTGCCTATATTTTAATGGCAATTTTCAATTTTGCAAAAAATAAAATAATAATAATAATGGCAATTTTCAATGCTCATATGTCTTGGATTTAAATAGATGTCATCGTGCGAAAACCAATGTGTGTAGCTGGAAATTAATACGATATTTGACAATCACATGGCAACAGGGTTTGAGTTAATTTTTATAAACTAGACAAATCAGTTGTTAATTGTTGTGTAAGATCCTAAAGGATTCTCTTCTCTATAAAGAATTTGTGAGAATGGATTATAAATGAAAAATATTTTGTTGACCGAAGCTACCTGTCCCTCTTTGGCCGAGAGAAAAATGGGACGACAAATAAAGTTGGATTCTTGCAACTATCGATAAATCTTTTTGCATATAAATATATACACATATGTACTTGTGAATAATCCTTTTTTTTTTTTTTTTTTTTTTTTTTGAGTCAAGTTCTACAATTAGATTTCCAGCTTATATATTCTTACCGAATTGTAAATTTTTTCTTTGTTTCCTTTTTTCTTATTTTTTTATCCGTAAGTAGGACATGTTTTTTTTATTTTTATTTTTTTCCATAAATAGGACTTATTAAGCTACATATTAAATTCGTTGAGCAAGAATATACATCTCACATAAATTCAGAAATACAATCAACATTATTTAAGTAGAACAATTTGTACCAATAAGTAAAAATAAACATCTACACAGAAATTTTTAAAAAAGGTCAATGCACTAATAGGAAGGCGTGACGGACAATTACCGTCAAAAATAAGATTTGATTTAATATTCATGAACTAGAAAAATCAAAGTTTTCTCAATGAGTTTGAACTCCAAACTCTTTACTATTGGCCTATTTTCAAACTCTTTACTATTGGCCTATTTGCCAAGGGGTCCAAAATCAATAAAAGAAAGGACAATAAATTTTGTAAGATTCATTTAATTGGCATAAATTACTATTATTATTTTTTAAATGTGAAAAAAATCTTATTTCATAATTTGGATAACATGAAAATTAATAAAAAAATATTATGATTTACCTAAATTGATCCTATTTTTAAAACATGACAATATGTTTAAATAAATTTATATATCATATTTTTAAAATTTTTAACAAATAAAAATAATATAAGAATATTTTTTAAAAAAATGTAGGGTACCTAAGAGAGATATAACTATTATTTTATTTTTATAAAAGGTATGCATAAATATATTTTATTTTAGAAAGTAAAAAGGGCTATAAATAAAATTTAATACTTTTTTCTTAAGAAAGCAAAATTGGAAAATTTTGCGAAAAAGTTACGAGGTAATGAAAAGTTATTTTCCTACAATTTTTTTTTTTCTTCCAATCAAAATCATTAAAAACCTTTTTTTAAAAAAAAATAAAATAAAATAAGCTTTTTTCATTTCATGCTTACGCCTACCAAACCAAACTAGGCCAAGGTGAAGGTGATATGGGGAAGAGGGGGTTTGAACTTGAACTCCAAGAGGCAAATTGTGAGTTGTCTGCATGAGTTGTTTGTCTTTATATATATATTAAACTCAAGAAAATGTAATAATGTTAAAGGTTAGATTTTATAATTTATTTTATGTTTTCCAAAACTTATTATTCACAAGATTTTTATTTTATTTTATCATTATTATTATTTTTTCAGTATTGACAAGAATCCCATCGATCAATTCTATGCATATGGATAGACCCACGTGAGACCCGCGTGAAAGAAGAAAATAGTGACAAATGACAACTATGTATGACATCCAATAAATGACATTTTTTGTTTGATACCTAAAAACTGGCCTAACAAATTTTCAAACTTGGTAAAAGGTTACGGTCTGACCGACTTGTGCGAGTCTAGTAATGACAGAATTTTCGCTTGGTTTTTGTTGGATCAATGAATGGAAATATTTTTTAAATTCACAAAATAATATTACCTTAGACTCATATTAATTATTTATTTTGAAAATTTTGACTAACTATTAACTTTTATTTTTGAATCATTCGAGATTATTTGTAAATTATATTCTTTTATATATTTATATACCACATGTATTTTATATTAAGTTTTTACTTCGGTAACTTTGACTCACAAAAATTGTGAGTCAAAGTTTTTGAATGGAACAATTAATATGGAATGAATGTAAGTAACAAGTGAGTTAGACCTAATAATAATAATAATAATAATAGTAATAAAAGTGACCTAAACTATAAAAGATAAATAAAATAAAATAAACACCAAATGACTTAGAATATAGACAAATCTTTTTATTAAAATAAAATAAACACCAAATGACTTAGAATCTAGACAAATCTTTTTATTGATAATCTCATACCAATCAATGGTGCTTTATGTAACATACAATATTCATTTTAAAATAATAACATAATACAAAGAATTTGTGTAAAATTAATAAATAATTTAAAATTGAATATAGTTGCTATAAAAATGTATTTAACTAATATACTTGCTATAAAAATGTGTTTAAAATTAATACTCGTAACTTTAGCCATGCAAGTGTGTTACAGAAAGAACATACTAGTTATGGGCATTAGCAGTTTGAAGAAAAATATACTAAAGAGTAGTGCAAAAAATATTATTTTATACTAAATAGTTTGAAGAAAAATATTATTTTATGCTAAATAAGTACTTTAAAAAAATATACTTACAAATATAAAATGAAAATATTGATTAATAATATTTTAATTAAATATAATCACAAATGTTATCAATAAAGAAAGAAGTGGAAAAAATAGAACAATACATAATTATACATAAGTGAAAAAAGAAAAAAAATTAAAAAATGAAACAAAAAAAATTTTAAAGGAAAAATATATGGTGTAATTGAAGAAGGGGGATATATGTAACTTTTTTATAAATAAAAAAATAAAAATAAAAAAGGAAATTAGAGGCATTTGAAAATTTTTGGGGGTACTATTTAAAATTACCATATAAATATATGTATGTAGCAAAAATATATACATTTGTATAGTAGGTTAGAGCAAGGGCAGGGGGCACTTGCCCCCTCTGAGTTTTAATTGACTCCGACCCTGTCCAAAAGGAGCAAATTGTAAATGTAGGTGAGCATGAGTTGTTTACCTTAAAAAAAATAAAAAAATAAAAAAATTAAGGTTTGATTTATATATATATATATAAATGCTTAAACTCATTAGTGACAACTGACAAGAATCACATCGAATAATAAATTATGTAGATTTAATTCTTATTTGACATGGAGCAAATGCTAAAAAGTAATAAAAATTATATGCATAACCAAGCCTTTTTTTTTTTGGGTAAATATGCATAACCAAGCCTTGTCTCGAGTTATCATCTAAAATTGTGCAATTTTTTTTTCCCCCTTTTTATTCTGTATCAAATCAAAATGATCATTCAAAGGAGACCCACATGAAAGATGATAATAACAAATGTTCGGTAAAAAGTTGGCCATCTTCTTTTCTTTTCTTTTTTAATAATAATATAATAAAAGAATTTAAGTAAAATTAATAAATAAATTTAAGTTATTGAAAATACTTGTTAGAAATATGTTTTAACTAGATATATAGTATACTCCTAACTATATCCATATAATATTCATATTGATATTAAATAATTTTTGTCGGCACCAAAACTCGACAGCCATATAAGTGATGATGTAAATAAATCAAACAGTTATAAGTGATGATGTAAATAAATCAAATTGTGACAAGTGACCTTGACAGGGCACCAAAGGATAGATCACTTGGAAAGTAACGTGGGATTATTATCAGTTGGAGGAAGTTACATGTGCTAGTCAAAATATATAGGCCTACCAGAAGTCTAATCTAATTCAAATAAGTTAAAAGAAAATAAAGGTGAGAGATATTTTAGCAAGGAAAGTAGATAACTCCCAGTTGAGTAAAGCTTTTATAAATAGAAGAGTGGTACAATATTACAATCCGTCCAGCACCACCTCAAAAATATGTATATCAAATTCAATTGACTCTATGTCACTTTCCTTAGTTAAATTCTTTTGTTCAATGACAATTTATTTTCAAGCAATTTAAGTTTTAGCAAACTTACTTTTTCTTGCAATGTTTAATTAAGCCTTTCCTTTTCATTTTCCTTTTCCTTTAGCCGCATTTTAATTCCAATGTCAACTTCTTTTCATGTATTTTAATTTCAAACGCAACTTCCATTCAAGTTGTCTAAATTCTTGCAAC